ATTAGTTAAGATATCTCTCATGGTTTTTTAATTCTGCTCCAGAAACCAATGGAGATGCATTGATATTGTTTACATACCCGTACATTACTGTGTGTACAAGCTAACAAAGTACTAGACAAGTTCTACACTCGTTATTACTCAGCCCCAGACTGGTCCTTCTCAGATAGTGTCAGCACAATACAGACTTCAAAGACATACCACCCTCTCAATATTCATACCTAGGTACTTCTCGCTATGCAGTTTGTAATATTACTCCCAGTGTTTATTTTTCACTTTAAAACTGTGATTTGACTTTGATCAGGGGTAGACTCATCCCTTATCAACTAAATGCAAGGCTTACCTGCAATTTGTGATATTTCTAGGTTTACACATTGGCATTACAATCAATTGATGCACTTCATATGGTCTCGTAGCATGCAGTTTGTCAGTAATTATATTCTGTTGGGGGTTAAATGATGTTTAATATCATGTTCTAGATTATTGCACTCATAAAGCGATGTGCGTGTGTGTATGTGTGCGTCTCTCTCCTTGTACTAGTGTAATGACTGGACTAACGGCAGTTTTATAGTGCTAGCCCACTGAGATACCACAGTTTAACATAGATACCCCACTCAGACACAGTATACTGACTCCAAGACGACCAGTCCTTGTTTTAGCCCCTTAATGCTGAGCAACAGGCATGGTAACAACAAGTACCATCTTTTAACATAGCTACAAACTGGTGGTGCTTTTAGCAGCCCAGTGACTACCAAATGTATATTGATACAAGTCCTCAAGTTGAAAGCACTATGAAAACGAAATGTCTTTATGAATCTCTCAGTAGGGGATCAGCTGCTGTATGTAATTGCTTGAGGGTGTCAGAAGGGCGTCTGTTCCTCAATAGACATGTGACAGCCACCTTGGAGTGCTGTAGTGAACAAGGGAGGGTGAAGACTACGAGCAAACAGGTCTGGAGTGAGTCGCATATCAACTGTGTTGGGCCCATACAGAGCCTCAATCCCAGCTCACACGGCTAAACACTCAGGGGCTTCGGGGTGGAGATAAGCTTACTTACACACTGATACAATTCACATCGATACAAACACATGGGACAACCAAAACTAATTAATGATCAAACTATACCCATGAGAGATATTAACAGCACCTTCTTGGTAATTATGGAAAGTTCAACCATTTAGGAATTTCCTGTAATAGCCCCATGACACACAGTGTAATTAAGCTCTTGTGATTGATACTGATTGACAACACCTAAGACAAGCAACTTTTTTGTCCAAGTTGAACACTGTAATACTAAGAAAAGGCCATCTAGTTGATCTGAGTGAGTGAGTGAGTGAGTGAGTGAGTGAGTGAGTGAGTGAGTGAGTGAGTGAGTGAGTGAGTGAGTGAGTGAGTGAGTGAGTGAGTCGGGTTTTACACCACTTTGAACAGTATTCCCAGTTATATCACGGTGTGTCAGCTTAATGTGGGAGGAAAGCCCGAAGTGATGCAGGTCTCAGACGTTTACCACTTCTGTGAAACCCATGACCATGGGTATAGTTCTGACAAAGCTAGAAACATAATCCGGGCTAACCTGGATTTGAACCCACACATGGTAGGTACACATTAAACAAATGTTAACATGTACACACATATGTCCATATAACATTTGGAACATTTGTTGAGCAATTCACAAGATGAGCAACTGGAACCTATTTTGACTGATCAGAGGTTAACATCATAACAGCTTATCTTAAGGTTGTGGAATATTTACATCACAGATCAAACAATCACCAGATTCCAGAGCTTCATTCAAATAAAAGATCAAATACATGTAAATGAAATACATTGCAAGAGATTCTATGGCCTGTGTTTGGCTAACCAAGCCATTTGTTTTGCATGTGTGCTTACCATAAACTAAAAACAGGCTACGCCCACTAACAGAATATAGTTTCCTGATTGGCTGATTATAGAATGGGTGGGGCTTGTATTGCATTATTGCGCTGAATGATGTCACTGATTTCGGGTAGTTGTCCAGTTTCTTGTGTCTTAATGATTGTATTAGCAGTCTGTGAAGTTATTTTGCTTTAATACCTCCACAGACGCAAAAAATGTCGAAGTCAAATGAAAAATATCCAAAAGCTCAAAGCATGTCCTAAACACATATGCATGAATAAATGGAAACAGAAAAAGCCACACAACAATTCAATATGGCTGTTGGTATGGCCATGTTAGAAATTGGATCTATATTCTAACACTCTATAGACACCTTTGTCTTGTTAAAGCTGTGATCATATACCAAAAACTTCAGCTATGTAAATCCAATGTTTTCAAGAAATTGTCCAACAAGGAGAAAAACTAGATTTGCTAATAGAAAGCTGCAAGTAACATCGAAACATTCATCATTGTCACTTTCTGAAAGACACTTTCCCGAGCAGCCACACTCCTAGCACACGCTATTCAAAAACAGTTAAAGAACGCACAATGTTTTTATATGACTATAGTTAATCTGTCATGGCATGAAGAAAATTGGCATGACAGATTAACTAGTCATATGAAAAAATGGGGTGTTCCTTAGCTTCTTTCGAGTAGTTGATGTGTACATCAAAGCCTCCCTGCAAGACAGCACAAGCATGTCTGCGATAATAAATCATGCCTGTAGTATCATCAAGGTGCAAATTAAGTGCACCAGTTAAATATTGACGACACAAACATTCTCCTCTTTGACTGACTCACCACACACAACCACACACAGAATATAGATCCAGGTGGCTTTGTAGCTCACCTGGACTATTTGTAACACTACAGATCAGTTTAGTTAAACTTACAATGACATAACTCATACTCCAATCCTAAATATACTTGCAAACATAACAGCAAAATTTTCTTTCACAATAAACATACTTTCTGTATGTTAAATTATGCATTGACACTTCTAACTGTCAGAAGACAAATGCTCAGTTTCAACACGACTACCATGACAGGTATGGCAAAATCTGTTCTCAAGTCAGCAAGCAATCTTTAACCCACTGGTCCACACACACAAAAAAGATTAATCAATCGATTACAAAAAGACACGAAGGCACAAAGGTCATAAGTGTAAATTCCACCCTGTGCTTTAGAAATTACTCGATTGTGATTGGTCAATCAGAGGCTAATAAATCACAATAAACCCCCTCTGATTGAAACAGCTGGTTTGACAGCTACATCTGCGCGGAAGCTAATATTAATAGAAGAGTACTTTTTTCAGTCATTATCGGTAGGCATATTATCGGAAGGCATATTTAAATAATTATATCTCCAATTACAGGTTACAAAATGGAAAGTTGAGGTTACTACAATATTCAAAGGATGTGTGGCAACACATTTCGTGCAGAAAACACGATAGAAATCTACAAAGAGAATGCATTTTATGTTTTGGGGACATTAGAGACCTTGGAATTTGGCGCTTTTCAATATACGACTGTGATGTCATATTTTGCGTCACAATAAGTGACATGACGTCATAATGGTGGTGACATGTTCGGGGAGAATGAAAGTTCTGCAGAGCTTGCTTAATTTTCTTAATGGGCGCCCCCCCCCCACCTCATGTTAGCTTACCAAGTTGTCGTGCTTATATGCTTTCAATGCCTGTGATGTGTTGGAGTGAAGTATTACAGTGTAAACAAATTGCTTGAGCACATACAGCGCCATATTTTACTTAAAGGCTGTTGTCGGCAATTCCGTAATTCAGATCCCACTCAAAACACTGGACTAAACCCATGCCGCTTCACTCAATATATTTACTAACACCCACTATTGCTGGGATCATATACACAAAATTTCAGCTCCATAAATTCAGTACTTTCACCATGTTCAGAGTAGATGCCAGAAACGGAGGACCATGCTGCTGGTACTATGTCGGAGTACAGTAGGAAGGGGATTCTGAACTGTTTGTTGCCACAGCTGGAATCATTTATGCATATCATCAAAGGACTTGTAGTGCAGAGATGTTGAAATTATGAAAAACGTTTAGAGTGGCTGGACACACAGAGGAGAATGCGCCAGCTGAAGACTCAGTTGAACCTTTAAAGAAGTGAATTTAACTGTTCTACTTATCTAACCAACTGGATGGGATAAAATAGATTATATATTTCAGCATCGTCAAAGTATAATTAAATATGGCACATGAATATTATAAACCATTCTTCTACCTACACCCAGCCAATAGTCGCACCTCACTGCATGCATTGATGTGCTGTCAGGTAGTAGTTAACAACAGACATATAATCAGGCTAAAGTATGCATGGACACAACGGGAATAATGTTGAATTGTTTCACACAGTCATGGCTCTTAGAGAGGTTGTCCAAACAAAGCCATGTCAATCCATAGGGTCCGGCACTAAACTATAGGTTCCGGCACTAAAAGTTAGGGTCCGGCACTAAACTATAGGGTCTGGCACTAAAAGTTAGGGTCCGGCACTAAACGTTAGGGTCCAGCACTAAACATTAGGGTCCGGTACTAAACGTTAGGGTCTGGCACTAAACGTTAGGGTCCGGCACTAAACGTTAGGGTCTGGCACTAAACTATAGGGTCCGGCACTAAACGTTAGGGTCCGGTACTAAACTATAGGGTCTGGCACTAAATGTTAGGGTCCGGCACTTAAAAATTCCAAATAATAACAACAATGATGATTATGATGATTACCATCTCATCCTACCAGGTACCCACTCACTGCTGGGTGAACAGACACATATTTAGAACAAAACAACTTGCCAAAGATGACACACATGTGTTACATGTGCTTCAATGTGGCACAGGATCAAAGGTCTAAAAACTCTCAGGGTCAAGCTGCAGAAACGGTCACTCATCCAAGGACTTTCCACGACCAAAGTTTCTTAACTTCACCTAATTTGTGACCTGTGCACTATGCACAGTACCAGGTGCCACCAGACCTATAACATAAGCTATAAAGATTTGAAGCATTCATATGCCAATTATATACTTCCCTTGCATGTCATCAATGTACAACCAACAATCTTACCACTTCCTGTGAGGCATATCCCTGTTGTTGCGAGTCTCCCATGGAATCATAGCAGTAATCAAATGTGAAGTGCTTGACTCGCTCTCGACTATCCCCATACTCCGGCACACCTTCCAGCTGAAACACCACCACAACATGATGTACACAACATGGATCAAGGCACGATAATATTAGCATATTGTCTTCCTGAATATGACTATATAACATTTGTATATTGTCTTCCTGCATATATGCCTGTAATGTAGCTGGCACATATAAGGCATACCTTCATAATTGAGCGTGCTGAGAGATAGTAGAGGCAGAGAGGAGAGGGGGTTGAAGGCAGAGCTTAGAGAGGGTTGGAGGCAGAGCTGAGAAGGGGTTGGAAGTAGAGCTGAGAAGGGGTAGGAAGTAGAGCTGAGAAGGGGTTGGAAGTAGAACTGAGAGGGGGTTGGAGGCAGAGCTGAGAAGGGGTTGGAGGCAGAGCTAAGAAGGGGTTGGAGGCAGAGCTGAGAAGGGGTTGGAGGCAGAGCTGAGAGAGGGTTGGAGGCAGAGCTGAAAGGGGGGTTGGAGGCAGAGCTGAGAAAGGGTTGGAGGCAGAGCTGAGAAGGGGTTGGAGGCAGAGCTGAGAGAGGGTTGGAGGCAGAGCTGAGAAGGGGTTGGAGGCAGAGCTGAGAGAGGGTTGGAGGCAGAGCTGAGAAGGGGGTTGGAGGCAGAGCTGAGAAGGGGGTTGGAGGCAGAGCTGAGAAGGGGTTGGAGGCAGAGCTGAGAAGGGGTTGGAGGCAGAGCTGAGAAGGGGTTGGAGGCAGAGCTGAGAAGGGGTTGGAGGCAGAGGTGAGAGAGGGTTGGAGGCAGAGCTGAGAAGAGGGTTGGAGGCAGAGCTGAGAGAGGGTTGGAGGCAGAGCTGAGAAGGGGTTGGATGCAGAGCTGAGAAGGGGGTTGGAGGCAGAGCTGAGAGAGGGTTGGAGGCAGAGATAAGAATGGTTGGAGGCAGAGCTGAGAAGGGGGTTGGAGGCAGAGCTGAGAAGGGGTTGGAGGCAGAGCTGAGAGAGGGTTGGAGGTAGAGCTGAGAAGGGGTTGGAGGCAGAGCTGAGAGAGGGTTGGAGGCAGAGCTGAGAGAGGGTTGGAGGCAGAGCTGAGAAGGGGTTGGAGGCAGAGCTGAGAAAGGGTTTGAGGTAGAGCTGAGAAGGGGTTGGAGGCAGAGCTGAGAGAGGGTTGGAGGCAGAGCTGAGAAGGGGCTGGAGGCAGAGCTGAGAGAGGGTTGGAGGCAGAGCTGAGAGGGGTTGGGGGTAGAGCTGAGAAGGGGTTGGAGGCAGAGCTGAGAGGGGGTTGGAGGCAGAGCTGAGAAGGGGTTGGAGGCAGAGCTGAGAGAGGGTTGGAGGCAGAGCTGAGAGGGGTTGGAGGCAGAGCTGAGAGAGGGTTGGAGGCAGAGCTGAGAAGGGGTTGGAGGCAGAGCTGAGAGAGGGTTGGAGGCAGAGCTGAGAAGGGGTTGGAGGCAGAGCTGAGAGAGGGTTGGAGGCAGAGCTGAGAAGGGGGTTGGAGGCAGAGCTGAGAGGGGGTTGGAGGCAGAGCTGAGAAGGGGTTGGAGGCAGAGCTGAGAGAGGGTTGGAGGCAGAGCTGAGAGGGGTTGGAGGTAGAGCTGAGAAGGGGTTGGAGGCAGAGCTGAGAGGGGGTTGGAGGCAGAGCTGAAAGGGGTTTGGAGACAGAGCTGAGAAGGGGTTGGAGGTAGAGCTGAGAGAGGGTTGGAGGCAAAGCTGAGAAGGGGTTGGAGGCAGAGCTGAGGGTGGTTGGAGGCAGAGCTGAGAAGTGGTTGGAGCCAGAGCTGAGAAGGGGGTTGGAGGCAGAGCAGAGATGGGGTTGATGGCAGAGCTGAGGGGGGTTGGAGGCAGAGCTGAGAGGGGACTGGAGGCAGAGCGCAGAAGGGGGTTGGAGGCAGAGCTGAGAGGGGGTTGGAGGCAGAGCTGAGAAGGGGTTGGAGGCAGAGCTGAGAGAGGGTTGGAGGCAGAGCTGAGAAGGGGGTTGGAGGCAGAGCTGAGAGGGGGTTGGAGGCAGAGCTGAGAAGGGGTTGGAGGCAGAGCTGAGAGAGGGTTGGAGGCAGAGCTGAGAGGGGTTGGAGGTAGAGCTGAGAAGGGGTTGGAGGCAGAGCTGAGAGGGGGTTGGAGGCAGAGCTGAAAGGGGTTTGGAGACAGAGCTGAGAGAGGGTTGGAGGTAGAGCTGAGAGAGGGTTGGAGGCAAAGCTGAGAAGGGGTTGGAGGCAGAGCTGAGGGTGGTTGGAGGCAGAGCTGAGAAGAGGTTGGAGCCAGAGCTGAGAAGGGGGTTGGAGGCAGAGCGGAGATGGGGTTGATGGCAGAGCTGAGGGGGGTTGGAGGCAGAGCTGAGAGGGGACTGGAGGCAGAGCGCAGAAGGGGGTTGGAGGCAGAGATGAGAGGGGGTTGGAGGCAGAGCTGAGAGGGGGCTGGAGGCAGAGCTGAGAAGGGGTTGGAGGCAGAGCTGAGAGGGGGTTGGAGGCAGAGCTGAAAGGGGTTTGGAGACAGAGCTGAGAAGGGGTTGGAGGTAGAGCTGAGAGAGGGTTGGAGGCAAAGCTGAGAAGGGGTTGGAGGCGGAGCGAAGAGGGGGTTGGAGGCAGAGCTGAGAAGAGGTTGGAGCCATAGCTGAGAAGGGGGTTGGAGGCAGAGCGGAGATGGGGTTGATGGCAGAGCTGAGGGGGGTTGGAGGCAGAGCTGAGAGGGGACTGGAGGCAGAGCGCAGAAGGGGGTTGGAGGCAGAGCTGAGAGGGGGTTGGAGGCAGAGCTGAGAGGGGGCTGGAGGCAGAGCTGAGAAGGGGGTTGGAGGCAGAGCTGAGATGGGGTTGATGGCAGAGCTGAGGGGGGTTGGAGGCAGAGCTGAGGGGGCTGGAGGCAGAGCTGAGAAGGGGGTTGGAGGTAGAGCTGAGAGGGGTTGGAGGCAGAGCTGAGAAGGGGGTTGGAGGCAGAGATGAGAAGGGTTGGAGGCAGAGCTGAGAAGGGGGTTGGAGGTAGAGCTGAGAGGGGTTGGAGGCAGAGCTGAGAAGGGGGCTGGAGGCAGAGCTGAGAAGGGGGTTGGAGGCAGAGATGAGAAGGGTTGGAGGCAGAGCTGAGAAGGGGGTTGGAGGTAGAGCTGAAAAGAGGGTTGGAGGCAGAGCTGAGAATGGTTTGGAGGCAGAGCTGAGAGGGGGCTGGAGGCAGAGCTGAGAAGGGGGTTGGAGGCAGAGCTGAAAAGGGGGTTGGAGGCAGAGCTGAGAAGGGGGTTGGAGGTAGAGCTGAGAAGAGGGTTGCAGGCAGAGCTGAGAGTGGGTTGGAGGCAGAGCTGAGAAGGGGTTGGAACGCAGAGCTGAGAAGCAGGAACAAGGAACTAAAATTGAAGAAATATATGATAATAATTACATATGATAATAATCAACACTGACTTGATCTTTAATTACATTATCAATGAATAGTACTTCAGTCATTCAAAACAATAACTGGTCCATCTGACATTTTGGCATCTGTGTGTATATGACAACATTTTCAAGAGCTTAACGTCATGACAAGTTCTGGCATTGATATAACATGAAGTGATCAATCATTTTGTGCAGCTATGATTCATGATTACACAAATGCAGTACACCTGCTGAGGGGCACTCATACATGTCAATCTTAAATACCATTGAATCACTATCAGAGGACATGCATAGAAATATGGCAATTGGCCATGCCGACCATTGTTCGACATTCTCTCCGCTTTATCTGATTACACAACGCAGTGAATGGTTAAGTATAATGCTCATAATCCCCTCTATAAGTCAGTTTGCCATTGTGTGTGTAAGTAGACGTTCACAACCTGTAAACAGGCGGTTGTTTGTCACACCATATACCCGCAATTTATATTGTAAACCATATCTTGGTTTTAAATAACCATTTCTGCAGTATAATATCATTCAGTGATTATTTTGATAACGTTAAAAGAGCCTTTGAGGATGTAACAATAATCAGAACTGTATGTTATCTGCCTGATAGTGGGTGAGGGAGCTATTTACAGCACCTCCTTGGTAAGTTCATCCTTCTAGGAATTTACTGAATAGCCCATGACACACAGTGTATTAGAAGCTCTAGTGATCGATACTGATCAACAACACCTAAAACAATCAAACTATTGCGAATACTGAACACTTTAATATTAAGGACTGCCATCTTATTTCCATCAGAGTGAGTGTTTGTTTGTTTGTTTGTTTGTTTGTTGTTTGACGCTGCACTCAGCAATATTCCAGCTATATGACGGTGGTCTGTAAATAATCGAGTCTGGACCAGTGACCAGTGATTGACTTCATGAGCATCAATTCACACAACTGGGATACGATGACATGCATCAATCAAGTCAGTGAGCCTGCCCACCCGATCTTAATAATATTCCAGGAATATCATGGTTGGGGACACCAGAAATGGGTTTCACACATTGTCCATGTGGAGAATGGAACCCTGCCCCACCGCCATTTTCTGATTGATAAGAATACTGACAACCTCACTGCTTTCTCTGCTCTGAGAGTGGCCATGAATCAAAGGAGATAATTTCAGCAGCTTACCTGTACCCACTTGATACATAGGGGTTGTCACGCGAGTGTGTTTGGGGTTTGCTAATATTCTGTATTTGGAATAAACATTGTACTTAGCGAGCCTTGGTGGTACAGTGCCTAAGCAATGCAGGTTTTGGTTGTATGTGTGCATGAATATATAACGTAAATAGGTCAGTGATTAGTCAGTCGGACAATAACAACAGTCAAAACAGTTCCAACTGAAACCTTTTTTTTCAGACAGTGGAATTACTACATGTAGCCAAAATGACAATTGCCAAGACATATTTTTTGTATTTACCTTTCGTGACAATCTATCTGCTGGAGTAATTGCCCTTTATAAAAGGGAAACTACCCTAGTCTATAAGACATCATGTTTGCTTTGAATCTGCCTGGCTTGTCATAACATTACGAAATGCATTCAGATGCCCACACGGCAACCAAAAATAAGGTAATATTTCAGACATATTTAAGCTAAAACTATCTGTTATAAATTTGTAAAAAGAGCCTAGCTGTAAAGTTCTTCAAGCACAGATATAGAAAATGATCCCGCTAGTTTCTCGTATAAGTTTTCTCGCATAGGTTGCCTCATCCACATCTTTTAGAAACTGATTTTTGGTGGATTAGACTATTATTTTGATAATGATAACAATTATCCCAGTAATTTGTCCAGATATGTGATGGTTAATTCTGACTGTATCAGTACCACCGAGGGGGCGGAGTGCCCTGTTTGTTTTTTAAACACAGAAAGGAGTGCCAAACTGATATTTCTATATTCGCACATTTATCCGTACATGACCCCAATGAATACAGTTTTTATCCGTTGGCTTTTTCTTGCCGAGAAACCTACTCATTGGCCCATGATAAAAATATCGAGGAAATGTCATTAATGATATGCTTTAAAGAGTTTCTGGCAACCCTTACAATTTTATTTTATGGTGTTTAAATTTTCATACTTTTTTCTTAAAAACTGGAAGTCATAATCTGCCTATTTCAGTGTTTTGAATAACAATATTCAACTAGAACCATTGCTCTTCCGGCAGATACATTATCTAATATTATACAATTAGGAAAATATTACTTTTTAGTAATTGCACATTTGTAATAATAATTCCAGGGACACTTTAGGACATGATATCGACATACTTATCAAATGCAATATTCAAAGTTGGATTTTCTAATGAAGTTTACACGAGAGAAAAATACAATTTAGCTAACTGTGAATGTAATGTTTGACACATTAACTATGTTGTTTAACAGACTTAACATGCTTAAGGCCTAATCTTTGTTTGCTTTATAGATTATCTAGGCCTATAAGCTAAGATGAAGTAGGCAAATAATAGTCGAGCATGTCTGTAAATCAGTTACAAAAGAAATTAAGAGAACATGGCAAAGTTTATAACAATTATTTTAAGGCCTTTGATTCTGGGTATTATTGTCAAAACATTTGATGATTATAAGGCTATTGTGTTCAAAATTACCATATATTTTCATTTTGGGGCAGGTTTCAACATACTATATGCTCACTAAAAAAACAAGAAAAAACATTTCCTGACTTACAAATAAACTTGACAAGATTAATATTGTATCTCAAATATACCCCAAAACAGTTGATACATTCTGCAACCCATGCTTGCCGTAAAAGGCGATTAACTGGATCGGGTGGTCAGACTCGTTGACTTGGTTGATGCATGTCATTGATCCAATGTGCATGGATCGATGCTCATGATATTAATCACTGCATTGTCTGGTCCACACTTGATTATTTACAGACCGCTGTCATATAGCTGGAATAGTGCCGAGTGCAGCATTAAACAACAAACCAACTAACCAACATACTACATAAAATAGGAACTGGTGTAATATTTGTAACACAAAGTTCTAGAATGTAAATACTTCAATCTCATGTAGGCTCCTGTTCATTCATATACCAACAGACCATCATTTATTAAAAACATATACAATGTTGAAACACAGGGAATATCAACTTTATCTTACCTAATACTATAGCTTACGTCTGTTATACCACTGTCAATGACTACAAAAACATGTGTACAACATTATCATAAGAGTAACAGTTCACTGCATAATGCTGATTGTATTTTTTAGGGCCATTGACTAGCAAATAATCAATGTCCCAGCCAGTTTACTTTCAAAAGCACTACGTAAATGTTTAAACATAATATCCAAACATGATATCATTGTGACAACTTCCTTTCTAATCCATTGTCAATCTGTCAAAACTTTTGTAAACTTGTGTCGTCTGCTATAGTTGAGACTTCGTACCTTGACATTGTTGATGCTGATATTATCTCCACTTGCGGTCACTATGGAGTACGCTTTCTTGTCTGTCTCCCTGCAAATAGACGATCACGTCAATGGAGGAAATAGTATGTAAGTTGTAATGATGCCACGATGCTGACTGGCACACTCACTTAGCGACTCCAAAGCCCCAAGCGCCAACCACTAGGTCGTATCATATGTTGATTGTTTGGTGTTTATGATTTGTATTTAAACTGTGATTCTAGACTTACCTGCCACTAAGGGGGCGAACCCTGACCGCTACCCTCACAGTTGACATTACTGTTATAAAATATCATCCATTTTCACTCGGAAATCCACGCAATAATTGCATTTTGTATGTCCAAATGCCAGCCACAAACAAGTATCTACACTCTCACAAACTTGTGTGGACTAGTCCACTTCGTCTGCGGGGAGCAGGGGTGCGGGCTGTACGCTGCTAATCCATTGAGTGGATTTCCGTTCAATAGCTGGTCATTATGTCTGTGATAAAACAGTACAGCGGTAAAAGGATTGATTGTCGATAAGGGATTTGTTAAAAGCAGGTCAGATCATGTTCGTGCGACCGTGGAAATTCTGAGAAACTGAACAAGTTCGACACAGTTATTGTTCACATGGCAGCCAGTGGATTGAGAGAAATGCCAGGTAGACATGGTCTGGTGGGTCTGAGATTGTATTCTCTGCACGGTGCCATCAGAGGCATGTGCGAGGAAACACCCACGGACTAAGTGTGGAGGAATGGCGCCAACTAGGGTACAATTATTTGACTTATAGACAGTCGTTTAAGTCGGTCACTGTTTGACTTTGCGTTCTCTTTATCCGATTAGCTTTATACGTAAGAAAGCTAAAGATCAAGATGTAACCTCATACCTGATTGTTCTCTGTAAAATGTATCGAGTGGGTATCCAGTGTAACCGTTTACTCATGAATTAAATGCATGTTGCTCCCCGATCCCGTCTTTTATCTAACCAACTTTCCTTTTTTCTGATTTCCCTTTCTCCTTTTGAATATTAATTTCCCGTTCCTTTCGCCATACATCGCACCCATCTCAGCTTCTTACTGCCCTGCCTAGATTCACCCCACCCCTCTCCCACCCACCCACACACGTTACTCGGCCCCTGTACCCACACTCCAGTATTCTTACTGCCCAAACAAGAATCATACCCCACCCCCCCCCCCCCACCCCCCCCCCCCCCCCACCCCACCCCAACACACACGTTACTCGGCCTCTGTACCCACACTCCAGTATTCTTACTGCCCAAACCAGAATCATACACCACCCCCCCCCACCCCAACACACACGTTACTCGGCCTCTGTACCCACCCTCCAGTATTCTTACTGCCCAAACAAGAATCATACCCCACCCCCACCCCCAACACACAAGTTACTCGGCCCCTGTACCCACACTCCAGTATTCTTACTGCCCAAACAAGAATCATACCCCAACCCCACCCCCACCCCAACACACACGTTACTCGGCCTCTGTACCCACCCTCCAGTATTCTTACTGCCCAAACAAGAATCATACCCCACCCCCACCCCCAACACACAAGTTACACGGCCCCTGTACCTACCCTCCAGTATTCTTACTGCCCAAACCAGAATCATACCCCACCCCCACCCCCAACACACAAGTTACTCGGCCCCTGTACCCACCCTCCAGTATTCTTACTGCCCAAACCAGAATCATACCCCAACCCACCCCAACACACACGTTACACGTCCCCTGTACCTACCCTCCAGTATTCTTACTGCCCAAACCAGAATCATCCCCCACCCCAACACACACGTTAGTCTGCCCCTGTACCCACCCTCCAGTATTCTTACTGCCCAAACAAGAATCATACCCCACCCCCACCCCCAACACACAAGTTACACGGCCCCTGTACCTACCCTCCAGTATTCTTACTGCCCAAACCAGAATCATACCCCACCCCACCCCCAACACACACGTTACTCGGCCCCTGTACCTGCCCTCCAGTATTCTTACTGCCCAAACCAGAATCATACCCCACCCCAACCCCAACCCCACCCCCACCCCAACACACACGTGACTCGGCCCCTGTACCTACCCTCCAGTATTCTTACTGCCCAAACCAGAATCATACCCCACCCCAACCCCAACCCCAACCCCAACCCCACCCCAACCCCACCCCCACCCCAACACACACGTTAGTCTGCCCCTGTACCCACCCTCCAGTATTCTTACTGCCCAAACCAGAATCATACCCCACCCCACCCCACCCCAGTATTCTAACTGGCCACCCTAGAATCTAGACTTGCACAAGTCTCTTCGGCAATAATTATTAGTTTTAAACATAAGTTCTAGATTATGTAAATAATAAGAACAAATTGTCCCTCTTCACATATCTAGACTTGTCTATTAGGAGGATATAATTACAACACAACCATGTACTTTTCTTTCAGTACAGCCTTGGAGCAAGGCTAGCCTATACCATTCATTCTGATGCTGTTGCTTCTCACACAGCCGATTCCAAGCCCTTGCTCCACATGTACAGTGAAACAAAGGACACCAAACGACCCTCGGTGTGATTCATGCATCAGGTCACATGTCAGCAACACGACGGAGTGATCATTGACACGTGGCGAGTGGCCGGACTAACTAACAGGAAGATATGTTTCCCCCTTTGCCTGAGTTGCAAACTGAGTCATATGGATGATATTATATCATGTACTGTTGCTTAGGGAACTGAGGGCAGCACAACATGGGGTTGACAATATCATGGTATGTGCTGTTGGTGTGCTTCTCTCGACGCTGTCGTTGGTTGCGCTTAGGGAGAATATATATATATATATATATATATATATATATATATATATATATATATACTGACTGATCACACGTTAAGGTGAGGTAAAATTGGGTTGAACGTCGCCTTCAAGATTATTGCACTTATATAGCGACGTGCATGCACGCGTGTGTGTGTGTGTGTGTTTGTGTGTGTGTGTGTGTGTGTGGCTGCTTGTACTAGTTCGGACTGATGCCGATTTATAGTGCCAGCCCACTGAGATACCCTGCCGCAGTTTAACATGAATACCCCACTCAGACACAGTATACTGACTCCGAGCCGACCAGTCCTTGTTTTTAGCCCCTTAATGCCGAGCGCCAGACAGGGTAACAACAAGTACTATCTTTTAACGTCTTTTGGTATGACGCGGCCGGGGATCGAACCCCGGACCTTCCGCTCTCCGGGCGGACTCTCTACCACTAGACCACGAAGGCGGTCCGGATAGGTTAAACAGATGTATGGCGTGGAACTTCGTACTATATAGGAATGTATTGCGATATGGTGAGCGCTCACAAACACCCAGTCAATTAAATTATTCTGTTGACGGAAAATATTTTCATTAAACACAGCAGTAAGCATACCTTGCAGTATCCCCATGTGGCCATTATTGTGTACGGGGCGGTCGGGTAGCCTGGTGGTTAAAGCGCTCGCTCGTCACGCCGAAGACCCGGGTTCGATTCCCGACATTGGTACAAGGTGTGAAGCCCATTTCTGGTGTCCCCCGCCGTGATATTTCTGGAATATTGCTAAAAGCGGCGTAAAACCATACTCACTCACTCACTCATTATTGTGTACGTGAAGATCTGGGTTAGAATTTGGTCTGCAGCAACCCATGCTTGTTGTAAGATGCGACTTACGGGATAGTGCGATCGGGTTGCTGACTTGTTTGATGCATGTCATTGTATCCAACTGCGTAGATCCATGCTCATGACGTCAATCACTGGATTGTCTGGTCCAGACTTTTTTTTTACAGACCGCGTGAGTGAGGCTTTAAACAAGATTAAACGTACCAATGATTTGCTAATCCGTTATTTATATGATGTTACTGTGAGAGGTAAGGCGGTTGTAGATGTGAAAAAACATATGCCTCATTATGCCGTTTTGTAGTTTTGTTGCTTGTTTAACGCCAGACTCAGCAATGTTCAAGCTATATGTCAGCAATCTGTAAATAATATTGCGGACAAAAAATATCCAGTGATTGATATCATGAGCATCGAGAGTGCGGCGTTAAACAACAAACAAACATGAGCGTCGATCTATGCAATTGGGTCACGATTGCATGTAATCCAAGTCAGCGAGTCTGACCACCCGATCCTGTTAGTCGCCTTCTACGACAAGCATAGGTTGCTGGGGACTTATATTCTTACCTATGGGGTTTTATGCCATATTCAGATGAGATAGAACTTGACTTAGTGTTAGTTCTGTTAACCAACTAATCCATTTTTATAGATCATACATTGGATATTAGACGAATAGTACATCATTAATGAAAGGAAACTATGTACTGGTACGCCCTAGTGTTGAAGTGACCGGTAAGGCAAAGACCGGCGTCTCCTTTGTGTTACGTGTTGTGGAATGCGTTTAAATAGCGTGCGGCAGCTGATTCCATGAAGGACATAAATTGCTTGTGTTTATGTCGAGTCAACACAATAATCGTCAATAAACAAGTCTGTCTGATAGCAGGAATTCTCCAAATTTACGGTCCACTTTAATTATATTACCCAATAAATTTTTATCAAGCACACGCTCTAAGATTTTTCTTACTTAAACCCTACTAGTCACCCTGGTGTAAAAAACAAGACCGACGTCAATACTGAATTAATTTCCTTATGAATTATCGGTGCCAGAGCGGTAATGACACTGGGAAATGATTCAGTGATTACAGTGTATAGAGTAGAGATAACAACGTAAAACTTATATATGACCGAAAAATGTTAAAAGATGGTACTTGTTGCTACCATGCCTGGCGCTCGGTATTAAGGGGATAAAACAAGGAGTGGTCGACTCGGAGTCAGTATACTGTATTCATTGTATTCACTGTATTCATGTCAAAGTGCGGCTTGGTATCTCAGTGTGCTGGCACTATATAATGGGAATTAGTCCGAACACCTATCCATTCCCCCCCCCCCCCCCACACACACACACACATTCCGACACACCCACACATGCGGGCACATTGTTATTATTAATTTAAATGCAATAATCTTGAACGCGACGTTAAATCCCACGTCACAAAGTATGACCCGTGAAGATCCGGGGTAGAATAGGTCTTAAGCAATGCATGCTTGCCGTAAAAGGCGACTTTGCTTGTCGTACGAGGCGACTAACAGGATCAGGGGGTCAGGCCCGCTGACTTGGTTGAGGCATGTCATCGTATCTCAATTGCCTGGATTGATGCTCATGATATCACAACCACTGGATTGTCTGTCTTTATAATCAAGCACACGCTCTAAGATGTTTCTAACTTAAACCCTACTAGTCACCCTGGTGTAAAAAACAAGATCGCCGTCATACCTGGAATATTGC